TCGCTCAGAATCTGTGAGCTGAGTTGACATCCTGGTGACACGGGTCCAATAAAATGTTTGTTTGTTTGTTTTGTAACTTAGGTTGGTAGTCACCCAAGTGAAATCTGTCAGGTGTTTGATATGTGGGTCCTCAGCATAAAAATAGTTCTGTAGATACACTTTTTTAATTCAGTGTGCTGTCAACAACAGAAGAAAAGGCGCACTGATGATTTATCTACACACTTTCACAACAGGTAGGAGCAGAGCTTTTGTCATAAATGCCTTTTTGCCAAAAATGATCACTTTCTGTAGGGTATCTTTTCCACGTAGCAGAAAAAGCAAGCAACCAAAATATTTCATATGATGAAGGAAGCTGATAGCATTGAGCCAGCCGAAGCACAGTCCTCCGAAGCTGAATGCTTAGCCTACAGAGTTATCTTCCGAAACAGGGAGGCGGGAATCAATTTCATTTCTCCCTCCAGAAACCACTTTCCAAAGCTTTCTCTGGCTATTGCACCTCTCTCCTGCCCCACCACCAATATTCCTTCAAACTCACATTTGGTTTACAGTGTAACCCAGTGCTTTTTTTTTCTAAAAAAAAATGTTTAGGGGTACTCTCATTTTGACTCAAGAAAATCACCATTTCATAGTTCAAATTGGGAAAAATAAATACAGTAAATGGTAAAGGTACAAAGATTCACAAAATGTTTAGGGGTTTGCGTACCTCTGCATCCCCTCAGAAAAAAGCACTGGTATAACCTAAGTGTGTTTATGTGGATTTAAATAATGTAGACATGATATATCTGTCAGAATTGTCCTACTCACATGTAGGACCCTGGCAGAGACAAATGCCCGACTGGCATGTTCTCTCCATCCTGGTCAGTCGTTCAGGAGCTTCAAAAGCTTTCTCCAGCCCGAACATCACAGCGACTGATACTAAGAGGCATCAGCACACTTATGGAGCCTGCATAATATTAGCAGTCCATGTAACAAACTCAGTAGCACAGCATTTTAGCTAAATTACTTTATTTACATATAATACACTCGGAGCATTCTGACTTAGCTCCTTCCTCTTTCTCATCAGACAGCAAAGAGAAAGAACAAAGGACAATAGTCCCACATCACGGAAACACAGTAACACAAACATCCTCTCTCCGTCACTTCCCACACTGCGGAATGAAAACATACACCGTCATGTGACAGAAAACAATCCCATAACTGCGAGCACGGAGTAAAAATCCTAACAATATCAACATTAAGTATATCAACATTAGGATTCCAGAAGAAATAATCTTCAGTTTAAGTCTATGAACGGAAGTGGTAAGTTTAAGCAGGGTGGAATCTAAGGTCACACCACCGCATACATTTAAAAGATACCACTTTAACAGTCATAGCTCCCCCCCAAAGGATCCTGGGAGGTATAATTTGTTAGGGGTGTTGCAAGTTGTTCAAACGACGCTTCCCAGAACCCTTAACGTTTTACAGTTCTCAGGATTCCTTGGAGGAAGCCATGACTGTTAACAGTGGGTGTGTGCCATGGGTATGGCCTAAGGGCTCAAAGAGAATTTGTATCAAAATTTTACACACACTCGTATTTAGCTGGAGATCTAAATTCATTTTTTTTAAAAAAAGTACATTCCATATAAACTGATAAGTCGTTCATTTGTGGACACCGTCAGCGCATCTCAAAAAAAAACCCCGTTTCATATACAATTTCAATAAATCTGTCTACAAACTTCCCTTGGAAGTTTCAGAAGAAATCCTAGTTTTGAACAGGGTACTAATGTAAGGCAGCAGGGGAAAGCCTCATCCAAGTTTTAAGATGGGACATCACTGAGCTCACCATCTGCACGTGATGCGAAAATAAGCTGCTTAACGGAGGCTGTAGATTTCAGTATAACTCAAATCCAACTTATGCAAATAACCGATCAATTTGTTACAGTGTTTGTGAATGCAGCTGGCTGCTCAGTTGTTGTTCACACCTTCCTAATGCGACTGGGCTCTTCAAAATATTTTTGCAATTTAAATTTATAGTGAAAAAAATTCCTCCCTCCTTCCCCTTTTACCTCATTATACATGCAAACATGCATATGTTCTTTTTACAGCCTGCATTTCCCTGAATTGCTGTCAATTGCCCAGTTGTGTACAAAGCATTTTACTCTCGATGGATCACAATTTCTGATAATTTACACAGAGGAGGTCTTTTCCTTGTTTAGTTCACGTAATTTAAATCTGGCTGGAAGCATCTATGCTGCATGAATCACTCAGGAATAATGTTATAGGTGGATCACAATGGAGGGCTTGCAATAATATTTCCCCCTTGTGGCACCAATTTAAATAAAACTATCCACAGGAGAAAATGCTAATTTGCATCTCCAGTGATGACTTATCCCCTCCGCCCCCCCAGAAATGTGATAATGCTTTCTGCAAATGTGAGGCAGTTGAGCATCCATTATTTAATTGTAAGCATCATTAGGGATTCTCTTCTTTATTTGTTTTGTTATGTTATCTTTTGGTGAGGTGTAGTCACCAGTGTGCAGTTGCCTGTATCTGGAATGTGAGACGCAATTGCTTGGTAATGCCATTGTGACTGGAGTGCTTGTCAGCAGAGAATGCTACTGTGATATGCAAGGTTCTACATTTAGGAAGGAATAGCTAGATGAACAAATATAGCATGGGGGAGACCTGACTTCACAGAAATACATGTGAAAACGATCTAGGGGTCTTAGTAGACCACAAGTCAACAGTGGTAATGCCTAATAAAGGTTTGGCGAAGAAGAAGAAGTCCACAGTGTGTTGCAGCTGCAAAAGAGGCTAAAGCAATTCTAGGCTGCATCAAGAGAAAAGTAGTGTCCCAGTCAAGATTAGTAATATTACCAATCTATCCTGCTTTGATCAGACCCAACTGGAGTACTGTACTCTGTTCTGGGCACCACAGTTTAAGAATAATATTGAAATAATATTGTAGAGGAGGGCAACCAAGATGATAAAGGGTCTGGAAACCAGGCCTTATGAGGAATGCTTGAAGGAGTTGGTATGTTTAGCATAGAGAAGACTGAGAGGTAACAGGCCCTCCTCAGCATGGCCTGACATGCTGTCAATCTGAGTAGACAATTCTGAGCTAGATGGATAAATATCTTGGCTTCCTAGAATAATGATAATTCATCATTGCAAATGCTACAACATCATGCACCCACCTCTGTCATACCCAACAATGAATTGTGGCATTTTGCATATCTCCTTTAGAAAATGTACCTATGTCGATTCTTTTTTGATTTGTGTGGCCTTTCCCTTAGTGCCTCTCCTCCCTTTCAATATGCTTTACATGGATCAATTTTGTAAGAAAATTTCCAAAAATTGTCAGTGGGAAAAACTTAACATGTAGTATGTCAATTGACCAATTCCGTAGGGTCTGCAGCGGTACAGCACACATATTCCAAATTTCTTCCTTATCCTTTCTCAAAGCCAACAAAAATGATTGAACTCCCTGGGAATAAATGTTGCTATTAGCATGAAGTTCAGAGTATCTTAGGGACTGGACAGAAAAAAGAGCCAGTTTTTGGTCAGAAGCTATTTTGCATGCTCTCTCTTGACCTATTCTCAATTTGAAAGCCCGCTTTTCTGCAGCAATATGGATAATGAGCAACAAATAAAGGCAGCTCCATAAATGAGTGACATGAGAAGTTTAAACGAATTACTGAAAGTTCAAAAGTCCCCATGATCTAGTGTCTTCATTAGGAATCTAAACCATTCATGGTCATGGAAAAAACCAAACCCAAATAGATTGATCCTTTGACTTCCTTTTCCAGCGAGTGTTCCAGCGAGTGTTTGGGCATGTTTAGCCTGGAGAAGAGGAGGTTAAGGGGTGATATGATAGCCATGTTCAAATATATAAAAGGATGTCACATAGAGGAGGGAGAAAGGTTGTTTTCTGCTGCTCCAGAGAAGCGGACACGGAGCAATGGATCCAAACTACAAGAAAGAAGATTCCACCTAAACATTAGGAAGAACTTCCTGACAGTAAGAGCTGTTCGACAGTGGAATTTGCTGCCAAGGAGTGTGGTGGAGTCTCCTTCTTTGGAGGTCTTTAAGCAGAGGCTTGACAACCATATGTCAGGAGTGCTCTGATGGTGTTTCCTGCTTGGCAGGGGGTTGGACTCGATGGCCCTTGTGGTCTCTTCCAACTCTATGATTCTATGATTCTATGAGTTAGAACACATAGTATTTGGAGAAATGAGAAGATGCCATGAATCAGGATCTAAAGTCCATTCAAGGTCCATTATACATACATACATATGATGGAAAAGGCAAAACAAACTCATTAGCAGAGGAAAGGAGGATAGAAGACTGATCCCTGACAGTGAAGAGTACTAACCTAAGAACATAAGGATGTTCCAGTTAGATAGGCAATCACCCATCTATCCAGCACCCTGTTTTCACAGTGGTCAACTGGTTGCCTGTGGGAAAACCATAAGAAAGACCTCACTGCTACCCTGCCTGTGCCCCTGCCCCCCCCCCGTAAGCTACAGGAACAAACCTAGTGTAGGGGGGTGGCAAGAATTCACTTCTACACCACCTTGTTCCTTACCCAGGTAAGGGACCACCTTTCAAATAAACCATGGGACCAAGGAAACTAATTCAAGTCCAGTGTCCAAGTGGGAGCCAGCACTTATTATAGCTATTGCAGAAGGGCAGAGCTTAACTTAATGTGGTTGTCCTAACCAGTTAAGAAGGTCTGCCACAAGGATGAGCAAGGGTTTGATAGGCAACACACAGAAAGAGCCATAAAACATCTAAAGATTCTTAAAACATAAACATCCTTTGACATACATCAGGAAAGGTTACAGGTTATAAGCAGTAAAATATGCATGGCTCCATATTGGTATCTTCATTCCCTGAATCACCTTGGAGTGTCCCAAATGTGCCCAGGCCATTTGATCTCAAATATACACTTCTGTCACTGTCGCCCTAGCAACCAGGCCTTCAGGATTGTTTACATTCCAGCTGCTATCTGCTCCATGGAAGCTTTCAAGGAGATGCCGTTGCTAACTCACAACAGACATAGGAAAGTATCCTGCCATTTGTACCACTTTCAGGGTCAGGTAGGAGAGGTGGAATGCAGCGTAGAAGGGAGTCACAAAATGTAGGCCTGCAGGGATCATTCATGGATGTATTCCAGCCAAAGGTTAAACACAAGTAATATTGCAAGTAATATCTGCTAGATCTTTGGTCGGGGCTCAGTCTGACCCCTTTCCTCTTACAAGACCCTGCATATAAGTGGCCTCTCTAACTCCTCTCATCGGCCCATATAAATAGCTGAGCCTGGTGAGTATTTAAGGTTCCCAGCCCCTATAGTTATAATTTGCGGGTAGCCATCTGATTTTATTTTGATGTTAATCTGATTTTAAGCTGTATTTTAGTCGATTGTTGAATTTTATGTCTTAATGTATTATATATTCTGATGTTAGCTGCCCTGAGCCCGGTTCTGGCTGGGGAGGGCGGGATATATATAAATAAATAAATAAATAAATAAATAAAATATTGGAACATTTTAAAAATAAAATCTACACCCTGGGTCTCTAATTCTTGTATCAGTGGGTCTGCCCCATCTGGTGAGCTTCTCCTGCCCAAATTTTAATGTTTGAATGAGGGATGAAAATGAACTAGGGATGTTCACGTATACATTCTATGTCCGGAATGGAAATCCATTCAGTGAATACAATCAGTATTGTTGCTGCTTTTAGTAGGCAAGTGATATGTAATTGATTGCATCCCGTCTCCCACCCAATTAAGAATGAGGTGGAATAATGTAATGGCTATATCATTTCACCACAGTGGGCAGGGAGATGAATAATGCAGTTATTGGCAGGAGATGAAATGCAGAGGAACAGAAAAAGATCTGCGTGTGACAAATGCAGACAAGAATGGAAAAAAAACCCTTACATCCTCATTCTGAAAAAGTGGTGGCATTCAACTAAGTTTTACAAAGAACAGACCCATTGAAATGAATGCACATGGTTACATTATGTACATTAATTTCAACAGGTCTAGTCTGTTTGAAACTTAGATGCATACCACTCACATTTCCAAAGGTCAAGATTTGTATCCTACACAAACTAGACCCTCTTCTAGTTCAAATTAAGCTAGGTTTGCCATATTTCCAAAACTGATAATCCAGACAAAAAGGTTGTTGAGCTTTCTTGATGAAATCTCAACCAAAAAAATGAGTTTTTAAGTTATTTTTAATGGAAATCGCCAAAATCTACACTACCAACATGGCTGCCATGCATCCAGATTTTCCTGGACATTTCAGTGGTTTCTGCCTGCACGCTGCTTAAGGAGGCTGAATACTAGCTATGTCCGGAAAATTCCAGATGTATGACAACCCTAAATTAAGCCAGAGCCTCTGCTTTAGGGAGAAAACCCTTCAACACAAGCCCAGACTGTAAATTTGAAATCCCAGACAGGGATGTCCTGGTTTAAGAATACTGATTCAGAAACTGGGCTTGTTAGGTGGCCAAAATATTCCCATTCCAATTAAAAAGTGCCTTTTTAAAAATTTCAGCATAGATATCTGAATTCTTTTGGATCTTCTTTCTTTTTTTAATGGTAGACTATTCTTTTGTAGAAAACTAAACAAGACGAGATGTGCTTTTCAACATAATTAGAATTTTGTTTCTCAGCCAGCGGATTCCTTAGCTGAATGTTGCCCTTCCTAACCAGGCTAATGAAATTGAATACAACGCTGGTTGGAAATAATTGTGGTTGGGTGTCGTGGAGCATGAAGTTGTTCAAAGAACAGCCGTTGAAGTCTAACTGCCACTACAATTGGTTTTAACAGAGAATCCTTTAACGAGGGCTGAGTATACTATGCAGAAATCCGTGAAAGGGGGGGGGGGGAGTAAAGTTACTGTAGCCAAGGGCAGCTGTAACATTTGGTGCATACATTACTGAACATACGACTCTGTTCAAGTAATTATGCTGCCATTCAATAAAAATGAGTAATTACCTAAGCAATAAATGTCATTTATATGCTTTTCCATGTCGCACATCTGAATAAATTGGATTCATAAATTTGATTCCTTCTAATAGCATTTCCCCCCCTCCATTCCAATTTTTAAGTCAACATTTCTTTTTTTTAAAAAAAGAAGCTAATAAAGTAGACTGGTTGACACCTTGAGGGGATAAATTTTATATCCTGTATTCACCACTTGCCAGAATTAAAGGCCTCACATTTTAAAGGGTGTTACGTAAATATTAACAAAACAACAGGGCCCTGAACAATTTGGTGAACAGCATGGTAGTCTTTAGACATTTAGTCACATTGCAAACATAAAACTAGGTGATAATTAAGTTATTATTCAGTATAGTTTTCGGTTGTTATTATAATAAAAAAATACTATAAAGCTTTTTAAAGGATTAAGAAGAAAGCAGGGGTTTCAAAAACCTGGCTTCCTTCCATATTCATGCTGAGTTCCTTTATGAAGTGCAGAGGGAATCCTTTCAGTCTCCCACTGTGTGTATCTTATGGATGATGGAAGCAGAAATTCCTCCTTCGCACTTTTAAGAAGATCATGACGTTTGCTTGAATTTAATATCAGACTGGAAGTGTAGTGAATTTGGCCAGAACTCAAAGCCTGGAATGAAATGTATTGTTTTAGGGTATAACCTCGAGTATGGAGAAAACAGACTGAAGCATTTCTTTTCTTTCTCTTCCCTTCTGCCGCTGCACTGGGGCAAGTGTGGCTGTCCTGCCTGTTGACAGTGGAACGAGCACTTCCTAGTAATAATAATATTATTATAATAATTTATGATTTATACCCTGCCCATCCAGCTGGGTTTCCCCAGCCACTCTTAAAAACAGAACAAAACATCATACATTAAAAACTTCCCCAAACAGGGCTGCCTTCAGATACGTTCTAATAGTCAGATAGTTGTTTATTTCCTTGATGTTCTACAGAGCAGGTGCCACCACCGAGAAGGCCCTCTGCCTGGTTCCCTGTAACTTGGCTTCTTGCAGTGAGGGAACCGCCAGAAAGCCCTCGGAGCTGGACCTCAGTGTCCTGGCAGAACGATGGGGGTGGAGACGCTCGCAGAAGCTCCTTCCTACACTGCCACATATCATGGGTAGAAAACGTAGAATTAAGAGGCTCCTGAAGGCCACCTTGGTGAAATGTGTTGAGAATACTCTGACATTTTCCGAACTCTCTTCACTTTCCTTCTCCCATGAAGAATTCAAGACAGGATCAAGGTTATTCAGGACTCCTAAGCAATGCTACAGCAGGACTGCGATTAACTTTCAAGTAGTTCTATTATCCAGGCTACAGTCTAATGGTCAAAGGCAACTGCATTTTAGAAAAAGGACGTTGCTCCAAGTGTCAGATGAAAAATAAAGATGAACATAAAGATGAAAAATGGCAACATTATTGGGCCGGAACCATGAAGTGATGTAGAGGTAGGCACTGACTAAAAGTTACCCTGGGGCTGATCGGCAGATCAGTATGCTTATGGGGATCTCGAAGGACCCAGGAGGGAGCAAGTGAGCAGCAGAGTGGGAAATGGATGTTCTGTTTCAGTATACAAATCACCATCACCCTTCCGAATCTTGTAATAATTTCTAATGTCACAGAGGGACATAACAGCAGCCATCCACTGCATCCCCCGTGTAAGGGTATCAGGGGGTTGCGTGAGAGCAATCAGGCAAATGCCTTCCTGGTTGGCTGTAAAGCCTTGTTATTGGTGCCAAAGAAACCTTCACCATGCAGAGTGCCACTATTCTGTGGCTCGCTCATTCACTGGCAGAATCTGAGTGGGCGGTCCTTAAACCTTCCCCAGCAGAGTAGTTTCTTGACGCCCAGTCTGCGCTTCCCCTCTCTGCGTGGAAGCCTACTGCGCAGGGAGGGCGTGGGTAACGGAGGACCTCTCTCCTCCCCGCTTTGCTCAGGCAAGGTGTCCTGGCACCGCCTCCCCTCCCCCGAGCCCTGCAGCTCCTCTCCGCTGGAGGCGTGGTTACTCTCCTCCGCTGAGGAGGTGCTGCTTCCCACGATCTTTGGGGGCTCTCTGTAATCCATCCGGCTTTCCCCCTCTCACCCCTGAGCCGATGGCAGTTCCCTGACACCCCACAATCTGGACTCTTACATTTATGTCAATGATTCACATACCCCCTAGACTTCAAAAGGAATTGTTCTGGTGATATTTTGAGTTCTTTGGGTCAAACAGTGGTACAGTGGTACCTCTGGTTGCAAACGGGATCCGTTCCGAAGCCCCGTTCGCAACATGAGCAGAATGCAACCCGCGTCTGCGCATCTGCGGGTGTGCGGGTGTGCGGGACGTGATTTGCCGCTTCTGCTCATGTGCGTGATGTCATTTTGAGAGCCTGTGCATGCGCGAGCGGCAAAACCTGGAAGTAACCCTTTCCTGTACTTCCGGGTCGCCGCAGGACGCAACCTGAAAAGATTTAACCCAAAGCGTCTTTAACCCAAGGCATGACTGTATCTTGGTTGTCAACCTTAATCTGTTCCAGGAGTCAGTTCAACTCCTGGAACTGTTCAGAAACCAAGGCATGGCTTCTGATTGGCTGCAGGAACTTCCTGCACTCAAGCGGAAGTCGCGTTGGACGTTCGTCTTCAAAAGAATGTTTTGAAAACACTTACTTCCGGGTTTTTGGCGTTCAGGAATCAAAACGTACGAGTACCAAGGCGTTCAAGAACCAAGGTATGACTGTGTTTTGTTTCTAGGTATCCTATATAAGCTATCGCTGCCTTCTGTGGGATAACCTTCCAATAGGTTTGGCATAGCCTTGACTGCTTATTACGAAAGAAGAATGTTTATCCCTGATTCTGGGGCACAAATCCACAAGTCATACGCCCTGACTTACATCCCTTTCAAAATCTTCTAAAACAGTATGTAAAGCGGGTGGCAGAGAAGGTAATGGGTCCGCACACCCCTCTGGCATTCATGTATTTCAGTAATTCATTGAGACTCTGCGTTTTGGCTGTTTATCTCAAAATTTATACCTGAAGGAGCGTCACCCCCATCGTTCAGCCCGGACACTGAGGTAGAGCTCAGAGGGCCTTCTGGCAATTCCCTCACTGCAAGAAGTGAGATTACAGGGAACCAGGCAGAGGGCCTTCTTGGTGGTGGCGCCTGCCCTGTGGAACACCCTCCCATCAGATGTCAAGGAAATTAACAACTATCTGAATTTTAGAAGATATCTGAAGGCAGCCCTGTTTAGGGAAGTTTTTAATGTTCAATGATTTGTCGTATTTTTAATATTCTGCTGGGAGCCGCCCAGAGTGGCTTGGGAAACCCAGCCAGATGGGTGGGGTATAAATAATAAATTATTATTATTAGTAGTAGTAGTAGTATGTCTATTGAAAAGTGAGTGTCATTGAAGTGAATGGAGTTTTTTATAATTTTTATTGAAATTCATTGACATAAAATACAATAAGAAACAGTCTACAGAATATTAAATAATATATAATATTAATATATATTAATATTTGAAAACACTTACTTCCGGGTTTTTGGCGTTTATATATAATAATATATAATATTAAATATAAATAATATTCTGTAATATTATTAATATTAAAAGAATATTAAAGTAAGCCAATGGGGTTTAAGAGGGCAACAATCCTATTCACACTTACCTGGGAGTCAGTCAATGGGTCTTACTTCTGAGTAGACGCACACAGCATTACACTGCTCATCCCTTAAATGTAGCCAATAATAGGCATTTATTGTGTATTTTGTCCATTTACCAGAATAGCCTTGGCCTTCCCTAAACATGAAATAATGAAATAGCACCCCTGAGGATATATGTGAACGTTTATAGGGAGATTGTCATTTGAATTTAAAACACTTTCCCAGCACATTACATGCCACATTTAAAGAAAAATTAAGATTCCCAAGTCTCAAAAATCACATGAGGGGCAAGGAGGTTATTAACCTCATTTACGAAAGCTCCTTGAACAGTCGGTGGAAATGAGTGCAGTGCAATCACTGAAAGGAAGGGGAGGACTATATTTGAAGGGGTGTGTGGAAACAGGTACTCTGGAGAAGGGAGATAATTAGTTTCTTTTTCTTTTTTTAAGGAAGTAGAAGAGAATGTCTCTTTAAAGGCCAATGACTTTGAAAGGCAAAGAGGTTTTTTTTGGAGGACACCAAAGCAGTGATCCTGGAAAAAGTGGACGGAATTCAGTTTTAAATTTCAATAATCTTACTAGGAGGTTAGGCATACACTTAATCCAGAAAGAAAGAAAGAAAGAAAGAAAGAAAGAAAGAAAGAAAGAAAGGTAAAGGACCCCTGGACAATTAAGTCCAGTCAAAGGCGGCTATGGAGTTGTGGCACTCATCTCACTTTCAGGCCGAGGCAGTCAGCGTTTGTCCATAGACAGCTTTTCCGGGTCATGTGGCCAGCATGACTAAACCACTTCTGGCGCAAAGGAACACCGTGATGGAAACCAGAGTGCGTGGAAACACTGTTTACCTTCCCGCTGCAGCGATACCTATTTATCTACTTGCACTAGTGTGCTTTCGAACTGCTAGGTAGGCAGAAGCTGGGACAGAGCAACAGGAGCTCACCCTGTTTCAGGGATTTGAACCACTGACCTTCTGATCGGCAAGCCCAAGAGGTTCAGTGGTTTGGACCACAGTGCCACCCACGTCCCATTTGAAATAAATATGAAATAAATATGGTGTGTCATACAATCTTCTGTAGTGTTGACTGGACTGCACAAATATGTCAATTTCAGAGCCTCTATTTTTTTCTTGTTTTCCCAATCTTAAATTCTGTTCACCAGCAGTCTGCATTTTATTTTTAAAAAAAGAGTCATCACAAGCATTTGCCAGAGTTTTAGAATGTGTTTCTAACTTGCACAACGTCGTATGCAAAGTTGCATGCATTTTTGCAAGCAATTTCCCCTTATAATGCATGTTCTAAGCTATTTTTTACAAAAGTATGGAAATTTTATTCACACTTTATTTACCCTAATATATCGATTTCCGTAAACATTTTTGGTTGGAAATGTATTTGGAGAAGTGGGAATTTCAAAGCTTAGCTGCATTTTGGGTCTGGTATTGTTTCATGTGAAAACTTAGCAGTTAAGCAGTATATAAATATAACAACAATGAGAGAACCAAACTAATTCCTCCTCCCATCCCTACACATTTACTTGCCATTAAATATCAATGTTTGATGCAGCTTACTCCTATGTAAATGTGCTTAGGCTGCACCCTTAACAGCACAATCCTATACATATGTATCTGTTCAGAAGTCAGTTCTGTTGAGTTCAGGTTAAGTGGGTATATGTGGAATTGGTGAACAGCCAATGGTTTAAATCTAACACCCAATGTAAGTTGAACTTTATTATTTCCATAAACTAGAGATGATGATATCCACAGACAAATGCCAATCAAGGGATTGGTGCTGCTGGACAGAATCACTACATGATCTAAAGGTAAAGGCAAAGGTACCCCTGACCATTAGGTCCAGTCGTGGACGACTCTGGGGTTGAGGTGCTCATCTCGCTTTACTGGCCGAGGGAGCCAGCGTACAGCTTCCGGGTCATGTGGCCAGCATGACTAAGCCGCTTCCGGCGAACCAGAGCAGTGCACGGAAACGCCGTTCACCTTCCTGCCAGAGCGGTAGCTATTTATCTACTTGCACTTTGACGTGCTTTCGGACTGCTAGGTTGGCAGGAGCAGGGACCGAGCAACGGGAGCTCACCCCGCCGCGGGGATTCGAACCGCGGACCTTCTGATTGGCAAGTCCTAGGCTCCGCAACCCCAGAGTCGGCCACGACTGGACCTAATGGTCAGGGGTCCCTTTACCTTTTATGCAATTGCAGCCTAGAAGGGCTCAAGTGAATCATGCCCATTGACTTTATGTTTGCATATCATGTAAAAAATGATGACATTTTTGGGCACACTCCAACTAAAGTGAATCATAGGTTTATCTCTCCCCAAAATGCCTTAATCCTGAAGCTTTTTTGTTGTTGTTCTTTTAATGTGGCTGCATGGCAAGAGAAAGGTTCAGTGAATGGTTAAGTGCAAATAAGGATTTAATATCAAAAGATAGGTGTTTACAGCCCCCTGACTATGGAAGAAAATAGCCAGCCAGGGAGATCACATGAGAGTTCATGCCATATTATCCACCTCTGCAGATGTTTCCACCCGAGTTTTGGGTACCCAAGGAAAAGTTCGCCCTCTGTATAATTAAAAAATGTTTTGCAAAATCAACATTAAAAAGCAATAAAAATGAAGGGAAAGGTGTTTAATCAAAGTAATCACTCACAAGAGAGCGATCAGGAAACTTGTATCAAGCCAGGCAGGGTTCTTTAAACCATTTGATACAGATGCATAATCTGACAGTTATTCACAATGAGCATTTAGCTTTGTGATGGCCAGGTGTGGTTGTTTTACTGAGGTAGGAGAATCAGGAGACAAAAATCTCTTGCTCCCCTTTAGAAAAAGGGGATAATCCCTGTGTATGTACACTTGCCTGCTGGCCTGGGACTGTGTGCTTCTGAATGTACAGAGGAGCTTAACTCAGACCCTACAAGTGTTCCTGTTTTCCAGGGACAGTCCCGGATTTACAGAAGCCATCCCAGTTTCTGATTTGATCCCACAATGTCCTGCTTTCCCTTAGGACATCCCTATTTTCACCAGAGGAATGTTGGAGGGTATGGAGTTATGTGACCCCAGAGCCAAGGAGATAAGTAACTACACAAACTATAGAAGTCTATAGAAGAACTATAGGGAAGGGGTTTTTTAATAAAAAAAATTTAATGTTTTATTATGTTTTTATATATGTTGGAAGCCACCCAGAGTGGCTGGGGCAACCCAGTCAGATGGGCAGGGCAATAATAATAATAATAATAATAATAATAATAATAATAGAATAGGATTTCCCCATTTTGAGAAATGTTGGGTGGTATTCTGGGGAAGCATCAATAGGATGAAACTACCACTTGCTGCCAGACTCATTCAAGCAGGCAACTGAAACTTTAAAAGTGGGTAGACTGAGCTTACAGGGGGCTGTAAGACTTGAGAAAGGAATTGATCAAAAGTCATAGCTAGTAAAATATAACAAAGGAAGGAAAACTCCAGGGGCAGAGAGCAAGCTATTACAGTCATACCTTGGAAGTCGAATGGAATCCGTTCTGGAAGTCCATTTGACTTCCAAAACATTCAAAAACCAAATTGCAGCTTCTGATTGGCTGCAGGAAGCTCCTGCAGCCAATCAGAAGCCACAGAAGCCCCGTTGGACATTCGGGTTCCAAAAGAATGTTTGCAGACCGGAACAATTGCTTCCGGGTTTGTGGCGTTCAGGAGCCAAAACATCCAAGTTCCAGGGGGTTCTGGATCCAACGAATGACTGTATATGCAAGCTCCCTCCAATCTAATAGCCAAAACAGGCCACATGGTCAGGAGCAATTGCTTCCTTCTTTCAGAAGAAAGCTGCAAGAGACTTCTTCATTGGTATGGAGTGACCCCAGTTCCAGCTAATGGGTTGGGAGAGACCTGATAAAAGCTAGTTGCATTTTCATTGCAAATCATTACTCAAATCAATTCAGCTGTATGTGTTTGTGAGACAGACAGAGAGAGAGAGAGAGAGAGAGAGAGAGAGAGTGAACGATGGAATAAAAGAATGACGGAGAACAGAAACAATTGTGTAACATTTCATGGAACTTTTAGTTGAATCTAAATTATTAGACTGGAAAAACTATGTGTTATTTTTCTCCCCCTTGAATTTATGCATAGTTAAACAGCCTTTCAGATATGGGGGGGGGGGACTTTCTTTCTTTTTGCTTCATCTAACGTTCCCATCAGAATCCTTTGAAAATGCAGCCTTGATAAAACTAAAGGAAAAAAGCAGGGAGGGAACCTCACAATTCCGTACAAATAGTTGCAAGCTGTGTGACGCCTGCTTTTTATCTGCATGGTGCCTGAAGATCAGAAGATTACTCCTAATTAGTGAATAAGTTAAATCATAAAATATACTGCACCGAAGGTTCACACTGCCTTAATTGTACACCTGAAAACTTCCTTGTTTTTTTCTAGAACTTTCATATTAGAAGTTGACTGTTTTTATGTATCTTCAGTGTAGATCACCTTGAGATGGTTGTTTAGAAGGCAATGAATAAATCAACGAGGAGGAAGGGAAAAGAAAAACAGAAAATGTATTTGTGAAAAGCACTCTACTTTTGGATCATTCCACCTGATTACTGCTTTTACATATAGGTTCTGCAAGGTCTCTACCATGACACAGGAGAAGCAGAGGGCAAGATGGCATACGCTCCAAGTGTCCCTATTTTCCAGGGATGTCCCTGATTTAGAGAAGCCATCCCAGTTTCTGATTTGATCCTGGAATGTCCCACTTTTCCTTGTTGTTGTTTAGTCATTTAGTCCTGTCTGACTCTTCGTGACCCCATGGACCAGAGCTCTCCAGGCCCTCCTGTCTTCCACTGCCTCCCGGTTCGGTCAAACTTATGTTGGTAGCTTCGAGAACACTGTCCAACCATCTCGTCGTCTGTCGTCCCCTTCTTCTTGTGCCCTCAATCATTCCCAACATCAGGGTCTTTTCCTCGGAGTCTTCTCTTCTCATGAGGTGGCTAAAGTATTGGAGCCTCAGCTTCAGGATCTGTCCTTCCAGTGAGCACTCAGGGCTGATTTCCTTAAGAATGGATAGATTTGATCTTCTTGCAGTCCATGGGACTCTCAAGAGTCTCCTCCAGCACCATAATTCAAAAGCATCAATTCTTCGGCAATTCTTCCCCTTCATGGATCACTGCCTTGCGGTGGCGAAGGGGCTTGAATAACTCAGAGAAGGTATGAGCTATGCTGTGCAGGGCCACCGGTCATAGTGGAGAGTTTTGACCAAACATGATCCACCTGGAGCAGGAAACTGGCAAGCCACTCCAGTATCCCTGCCAAGAAAACTCCATGGACAAAGACAACAGGCACTTTTCCTTAGGATGTCCCTATTTTCCTTGGAGAAATGTTGGAGGGCATGGAGTTATCCAACCCCTGAGCCAATTGAAGGCAATCTGGTATAGGAAAGTGGCTTTTTAAACAAAAAGCTTAATGTTTTATTATGCTTTTTTATATCTTGGAAGCTGCCCAGAGTGCTGGGGCAACCCAATAAGACATGTGGGGTATAAATAGTAAAATTATCATTATGGAATGGGACGTCCCTATTTTCATCGGAGAAATGTTGGAGGGTATGTTAGTTCACTCATGAACTCCCTCCCCGCAGTGCGTAAACATAGAGCTCTGAGGTGCTCTGTTAAACAGCAGTCAGCAAACTTTTTCAGCAGGGGGCCGGTCCACTGACCCTCAGACCTTGGGGGGGGCTGGACTACATTTTTTGGGGGGGGGGGAATGAACAAATTCCTATGCCCCACAAATAACCCAGAAATGCATTTTAAATAAAAGCACATATTCTACTCATGTAAAAACACGCTGATTCCCGGACTGACCGCGGGCCAGATTTAGAAGGTGATTGGGCCGGATCCGGCCCCCAGGCCTTAGTTTGCCTACCATGGTTAAGTATAATGGTTTAATTCACACAGAAATGGGGGGAAAAAGACAGTTACACATGGTTGCTGCACCGCCTCACTGAGGGCTCGGATGCAGAGGTGAGCATGCCAAAAAGAGGGTGCCATGGCAACAGCTGGTCAAGGTGGATGGGCCTATACTCATGGCTCCAGCATAAAAGGTTGGGCAGCAGGCCCCACAGGGAATGGAGAATAGGCTCAGAACACTACAGTGGCTGCGTCTGCTTGAAGCAAGTGAGAGAAGGAAGAGATGCAGTGAGAGAGAGAGAACACGTTAGGGAGACCAATGTGGAAAAAGTCCCACGAGAGAAGCTCAGAAAGGAAAATTGTTAGGTACCCTTCAGCCTTACCCCGAGGGAAGAAAGTACAGTGGTACCTTGGTTCTTGAACTTAATCCATTCTGGGAGTCCATTCAACTCCCGAAACCGTTCACAAACCAAGGCGCAACTTCCGATGGGCTGCAGGAGCTTCCTGCACTCAAACGGAAGCTGCGTTGGATGTTTGGCTTCCCAAAAACATTCCCAGACTGGAACACTTACTTCTGGGTTAGCAGCATTCGGGAGCCAAAACGTGCGAGTACCAAGGCATTCGAGAAACAAGGTAAGACTGTAGCTGGATTCCGAGGGCTTAACCTTTTTAATAAACAAATTGGTTATATCAAAAGATGTGCATGGATAACAAAGATACATTTAATGTCTCTGTTTTCAATTCATAGAGTCGGTTACATTCGATCTGAGACACTGCTGCCATAGGCATTGTAAGGTTGGGGGGGAGAAGTGGGGAGAGGGGAGGGCCTTTACTTTCTAGCTTCATGGCAGGGGACTATAGGGGGCGTAGAAGCTGGGCTTGAATCTCCCTAACCAACAGTTAGGGTTGCATGCACAAAGCAAAGGAGAGACATCACCTTCCCAACAAAGGTCCATATATTTAAAGCTATGGTTTTCGCAGTAGTGATGTATAGAAGTGAGAGCTGGACCATAAAGAAAGCCGATCGCCAAAGAATTGATGCTTTTGAATTATGGTGCTGGAGGAGACTCTTGAGAGTCCAATGGACTGCAAGAAGATCAAACCTATCCATTCTGAAGGAAATCAGCCCTGAGTGCTCACTGGAAGGACAGTTCGTGAAGTTGAGGCTCCAATACTTTGGCCACCTCATGAGAAGAGAAGACTCCTTGGAAAAGACCCTGATGTTGGGAAAGATTGAGGGCACAAGGAGAAGGGGACGACAGAGGACGAGATGGTTGGACAGTGTTCTCGAAGCTACCAGCATGAGTTTGACCAAACTGTGGCAGTGGAAGACAGGAGTGCCTGGCGTGCTCTGGTCCATGGGGTCATGAAGAGTCGGACACGACTAAACTACTAGACAACAGCAACAACAACATCAATCCCTTTTTAAATTCCCATCAGTCGACGAGACGTGAATTCAGATTTCCCCATTCCTTGAACTACATTCATATCAACAAACGTCACTGGGAAAGATGGAGAAAAGAAAGGGCTGTATCCAGAGCTTTTTTCCCCAGCCAGAACTTGCTGGAATTCAGTTCCAGCACCTCTCAGGTGGGTGCCATTGCCATTGCAATAGAACAAGGGGGTGCTCCTGGTGAATTCTGGCTCCTCTTTTCCTAGGAAAAAATAGCACTAACTGTACCCAAAGTAAGCTAAATAACTGTTCTGGGGGGTTCCTCAACCCCCCCCCCCAAAAAAAAGAATTTTGGAGATGGTGCGGGGGAAGGAGGAGAAAAAACCCACCCTACTACCACCGAAAGTCAGCAATCTTATATGAGAGCAAGTTCCATTGAACTCAATGAGGCCTACCTCTGAGTAAGATTGCCTTGCTTGGGGAGTCATTTGCTATTCTACGTTTTATAATGAAGCTACATGAGTTGAGCTCTGCAAAGAAACTAACAAGCATCTAAATGAAGGCAAGGTGATTCATAAAGACTCAGTCAAGTCGCAAGTACAAAATAGATTCCTGAGTGTTTTTATAGCCGGTTGAAATTATGCAAGTTTATTCTGTAAGCAAAGTGATTATTTGTCTCCAGGATGTTACAGCCTGATCTGGAGAAAAAGGAAAAGGTAAACAACTCCCACCTGTTTTGCCACAGAAACTGTCTCTTACGGATAACTTCCTGCCCTGAAAAAAGAACAACAATCTTCCTTACTGAACACTTAATGTGAATGAAAGGATTAAATAATAATCACCAGGGGAAAAACTAATCTATCAAATCATTAGCAGGAAGGTGAGGCGAGTAACCTATAAGCAAAGTAAAATAATGAAATGTAAACACAAGCTGGGGAAAAAACGATGGTTTAACACTGAGAGACACTTTTTGAGAAATGTTTCACAGAAGAAGCACCCCACTTTCATTCTTTTTTGGGCGTAGGGAAGACTGCAAAATTGATCAAATATACTTGCCCATTTAGAGTGAGGGCAGGGAGCATTATCTTATTAATTGGCTTTGCAATATTGTCAGAAGGTTGACTCTGATTGGCTACAGTCATCATCAAACTGTGATCCCTGGTTGGCTGGGATCTTGTGCACCTGGAAAGAGAAGTCGTGGTTTCATTGAAAAGCCAGTTAACAGCCAGCAAAAACGACAAGCACATTTTTCTCACTGAAAATGTTCTATGGCAGCCTAGGAGAAAATGTATCTGAATAGAATAGAGATAATCAGTTTGTAACAAGCAACTGATAGATCTAACGGCTAGTCGGTTTATAAAAAGCTTGTGATGTGGTTTTTGCAAAAGAGCTGGTAGAAAAATGATACATGTTCTCCCCACCCATATACATCTACACAAACTCTGTGTGGCTGTACCTTCATAAAATGTCCAGGAATTATGGGAGTTGTAGTTGAGCAATGTCTGAAGGCAGAAATATTCCCTACACCTGCCCTATTGTTAGGGACTGGGCAGAGGAGGAATGGTGGAGACCGCCTCCCCATCTTGACCCTTCCAGGGAGGAGGAAGAGGAAGACAGTATAGATTTACAGCAGGGGTTTGAGGGAGGTCACAGCTCAGAGGCAGATGAGGGGGAAAGTTGTGAAATAATGGGAGAAGAGGCAGAGCTGGAGCAGGAAAGCATTCCAGACCCACCATATACCAAGAACCCAGCGAGCCTTAAAAGTAGGAGAGCAAAGAGCTTCGAGACAGATGGCGCTAAGCAGAAACCGTAAAGGGAGTGGTACTGTTGACGAATGAGGAGGTGGGAGAAAGGGGTTTGGAGATTTCCTCTGGACAATGTCATTATTCAGAGATTCAGGTGGCTAGCCTGTTGATCTGTCACAGTCATAATAAATAACAAGATGAAAGATGAAAAAATCTTTTTAAATAAATCTTTTTAAATAATGGAGCAGAGGTCGCTTCAACCTTATAACTGTTGATGACTGTTATGGCAGTTGGTTCCACAGGGAAGGGCAAGGGATTTTTAAAGGGATAGATGACCAAAGTTAGCTTTAGTCTATTCAGACTAGGTCTCTCCATAGTTTTTAGTTTTAAGAATTTTAGTTTTAATAAATACCAAACTAAAAACTATGGAGAGACCTTGTCTGAATAGAGATATTGGATTCATGTCCCATTATACATACTGAAGCTAATTTGTGGAACCAACTGCCATAACAGTCATCAACAGTTATAAGGTTGAAGTGGCCTCTGCTTCAGGGTATCTGACGAAGTGTGTATTACACATGAAAGCTCATACCTTGAAAGCTTATATTTAGTTGATCTTTAAGGTGCCAATGGAATTATTTAAAAATATTTTTTCATCTTTCATCTTGTTATTTATTCTGATTATTCAGAGAGGCTGCATTCCCAATCCTCTCTCTGTGAATATTTAAGAAAAGCAGATGGTAAGGACTTTTCCTTGTCCATTTCTCGCAACCTGCTGTGGGGGTTGGTTTCTCAACCGCCTGACACCTATATGCATAAGGACAACTATAATTTTGTAGTGCAGATATTGGTAATAAGAACATAAGGCAAGACTGCTGGATGAAGCCAATGAATAGTAGCCATTGGTGGCCTTCTGCTCCATGATTTTGTCTAATCCACTTTGAAAAATCTGCTTTGAAAGCCATCCCTGTTGGTAACGATCACTGATTCCTTCCTTCCATAGTTTAACCATACAGTGCCTGAAGAAGTATTTCCTTTTATCTATCCTGTGACATAGCCATTCATGTTACACAGGAGACCTAACAAAGCAGGGGAAACCTGAAGAGTAATTTAGTAATTTGTTTCTCTCTCAGCAAGGACAAAAGGTAAACCTTACAGGCCTCACACTTACAGCATTCGCCCTCAGAGGACAAATTGGGAAACCAGAGTGATAAATGTAGACGTTCACCTCTTGAAACACCCCACATTTCTCTCACTGCAAAGGAAACGTGCCAACGGTAAGGAAACAAGAGCCTTTTTAAAAAATAAAAATCTGTACAGTAATCCCCTGTGGAAATTAACTAATAAAAAGGGACATTTGCAAAGTCTGAAGCTCATTTCACATATTCTTTCATTTCTTCCTTGTTTTTAATGGCATGTCAGAAGTAAATTAAATTTACATTTGTGGAAGCCCAGGGGTTCCTCACAGTCAAAGGAAAGCAAATGAGTACTTGATAACCTCGCTTACTTACTGAATGGCAGGCGACTGTGAAACACATTAGCCAGCTGCCATGATGGCTATTCCCTCCAGAAAGAATGTGCATCAGATTCTGTATAGATAGATACGCAAGGAGGTATTGTCTTCAAGATAATCATGCTTACGGACATAAAATCATCACCAATTTTTGCAGATTCATGAGGGGAACACAAACATAGCTATTGTGAGTGCTTAGATGGCCGAATTGTTGCTGCCTGGCCAGTTTGAACGGTCATAGTGTGACAGTGCAGGGCTGCTAAGTGCAGCAATGGCCAGAATAAATAGATGAAGAGTGGACCTGAGTGAAGTCTGCTGCCCTCAGGTCCGCTCCCCAAGCCATGCCCCCTAGGCTGCCATAGTTTGGCCAGTTTGAATGAGTCAGCCTGGCGGGAACCCATGAGCCTCTGCAGCAGCCGAGGAGACGCGACAATGGCCTGGAAAATGGTACAGCACAGTGGGGCATTGTGGGAGAAGAAGAAGAAGAAGAAGAAGAAGAAGAAGAAGAAGAAGAAGAAGAATAGTAGTTTGGATTTGATATCCCACTATATCACTACCTTAAGGAGTCTCAAAGCGGCCAACAATCTCCTTTCCCTTCCTCCCCCACAACAAACACTCTGTGAGGTGAGTGGGGCTGAGAGACTTCAAAGAAGTGTGACTAGCCCAAGGTCACCCAGCAGCTGCATGTGGAGAAACGGAGACGCGAACCCAGTTCCCCAGATTACGAGTCCACCACTCTTAACCACTACACCACACTGGCATTGTGGAGTCCAGTAAGTGGCCACTGCGGTCTTTTCATTACAAGTGCAAGTATTATGTGCCAGCAAACATAACTAGCAGTTCCAATGAATGCTTTTCTCTCTCTCTTTGTTTTTCTGTATTATTTTGTTTTATTTTTATTACTTTTTTACTAAAGTCTTTCAACGCACAGCAACATCATACAGGTAAATAACAAAATATCCCACCCCACCCAAGTAACTGGTGTTTAGGCAGTAACTGTCAAATAGCATATGTTCTTATCCCAAATAGTTCTTTTTTCTTTAAAAAAGTTTGTATTGAAGATTTTCTTGTGTTGCAAAATAAATAAAGTACATATAGTGCCTCCACTTTCAGTTTATCAAGTCTTTTTTCACGGTATGTGTTAATGTTCCGTATGAGACATTTAATGTCATGGACATCTTACAGTTGTGGAAAAAGGAGGGGGAAAGAAAGAGGTGGAAGAGATGGGGTATTGTTCTATTGCAAAGTGTTAGTGTGGGGGTTTGTGTCAGCATCACGAGGGTAGGCCCTTTATTTATATATTTACTTATCTTGATTGGCGTTTGCGAGGGGTCGGAGGATCCAGTGCTCTGTGGGTTGTGTTCAGCTGGTTGCAGTGTGGCTTGTGTGTGTGTGCATGCGCGTGCAGGGGGTGCTGTTGTTGGGCCAGGTTAGCCATATTTCCCTGACATTTCCAACATTGCACGTACTTCCGTGTCAAAGCAAGGAATTAAAAATGGACCGAACATGACAGTTCTATTTTGCACACCTCATTATGGAAAACTGGAGTGGGTGCTGTAAGATAGGTTCCACTTCCAAAGATGGGTGTAACTGGGAACATTTCACGCTGCAGTAATTGGCCAGCCGTGGACCGTGCCAGAAATGGCAGTGGGTAGGATCAGAGATACTTCCCTCTCTTTGTTGCCCACCCCTCCTTTCCCTGCAAGAAATGGTACCAGCCAGGTTCATCCATCCAATAGTGCTAGATTTAGGGCAGTGTGGGCAGTTCTCCCTCACGGGGTGTCAAGCCAAGGGGGTGCAAATTAATTGAGAAGATCCATCACTGAGTAGATTCCTTTGAAGGCACCAAATTTTAACTCAGGGTGACATACAGTGGTACCTCTGGTTGCGAACGGGATCTGTTCTGGAGGCCTGTTTGCAAGGTGTAGAGAACACAACCCACATCTACGCACGTGCAGGTCGCGATTCGCTGCTTCTGCGCATGTGCGTGACTTCATTTTGCGCATCTGCGCATGCATGAACGGCGAAACCCGGAAGTAACCCTTTCCGGTACTTCCGGGTCACTGCAGGATGCAACCTGAAAATGCTCAACCTGAAGCAAACATAACATGAGGTATGACTGTACTACCAAAGACTGTTCGTATACCCCATTGCCTCTGCTACTATTGAGTCCCAGTTCTCCATTCTGACACTTGCTCCCTCTTCCTCTCCTAACAGGTGAGAATATGTGGAAGGAGACATTCTTCATTTCTCAGCTGGGAAAGGAATAATTTAATAAAAAGGAGGGTTAAATAAATAAAGCTGGGGTAATAGGGATCTGCTGGATTATCATTGATTATTGTTTTCTCTTCTTAGGGTGGTTAGTTTTGTGAGCGTTCTTGTTCATTGAGTTAAATTAATTTTTCTCTCTGTCCTTTTTCAAAATCGAAGATGAATCTCATTCTTTTATTTGTTTCTCACTTTCCCAAGTAGCGTAACAGCCTACTTGTCTTATGGGGAAGTGCTGTAGTCTCTTCCATTTTGACAAAGTGATAATCTTGGCAAGCTTCGAGTTGCAAGCGGCTGATGCAGAAAGCTCAATTTGAACCTTGTTCTTCATCTCCTCCCAATGTGCAAGGATGGAAATCTTTCATTTTCTGAAAAGTATGCTTCATTCCCACCAGGTCCCCGAGGGGCTATTTTACTGACACTTGCCTTACAGTAAAAAACGTAACTTTTTCCTTGGCAATTTAAACAGGTGCCAATGGCAGTATATATCTTAGGAGACGGCTCACAATGTTGGTTCAGTCTCTTTCAACAGGGCGTCATAGTGAATGATGTGCCAGGGCTCCTAGTCATTTAAAAACCTGTGGATGTCATCCACTTTAGAGATAGCATCCAGCAGATGTTAGTCACAACTGAAACTGACTGAAATTGACAGCACTGAGTTACCAGAACTTAGAACTAAGTCCTCTGCCATTGCTTTCAGCGAGACTCACATTGCAATCTTAACCCCATCTACTCAGAAGTGAGTCCTATTGAATTCAATGGGGCTTACACTCAGATATGCGGGATTAGGGTTGCACATCCCACTCACAACGCCATGTGACATTGTGAAGTCGCCGCTGGTTATTGAGGGGGCTGAGCCCCCTCTTTGAAAACTTTGGAGGGGATCAAAGTGCCTTCACCCCCAGGACCCGATGCAACCGCTCCACATAGTACATGTGGAGAATGAAGAAACCTAGAAAACCCAAAATAAATAGACGTGTTGAATTTTTCAGTTTTCAAATTCCAAAAATGAGGAGTGCTAAAAAGTTGTAACATCACTGGGAAATTGAAAAGGTAGTTTGGTTAACTGAATATAATTTGGTTTTGATTGGTGAGTGTGCAGAATGTGTGTAAAATTACGTAGAATTAATTAAAAATGATTGTCAAGTACTTGCAGTTATATATTATTATTATCATCATCATCATCATCATCATCATCATTCAGAATTATCTGACATTTTCAGAAGGTAGAATTAAAATCCTTGGTTCTTCATCAGACGTAGACTTACCAAGCTAAATGTTCTCCAATCACAAAAAACTAGCAGATTTGAGTCCCTGACACCCAAAATTATATTTTTAAGACCCCTCAGTGAAGACATCTGCAAAAAATAAGCTTCACCCCTAAAAATGGCACCCCCAGTGTATCCCACCAAGATGTCTAATGTGTCACAGAACAGTAAACCCTGCTTGAAATTCTACGCCCGCACTGATTGAATTAGGCTGGAACGATATCAGTTTTTATTAAACCCGCCCACCCCTGCTGTTGTCTTCTGACTTCAGCAGTCTCCCCAAAACATCACCTCGCTATGCTCCATGTGAACGTTAAAATAACCCAGCGGTGGGGCAGCCTTTCATTTTTCTGCTCTTCCCATTTCCTTCCTGCTCTGCCTTCGTTGGCGTGATGCAGATTGATTTGCCCTGCTCCTCTGGCCAGTCCCTTGCTCCCCATTTGCCTGTTGACAGGTTTTTATGAAGGACAGTAAGTGCACAGTTGCCAGCCTCTTTTATGAGTTCATCTGTAACGCCACGCCATGTGTGCCCTCCCTGTTGTGAGCTTGTTTACTGCAGTTTCAGACTCTGCCAGGAAAAAAAAGGTGAAGGTTATTTTATGGTTGTGCAGATGATTGCCTCACACTTGGTACTGTCTATAATGTCCCTTGATCCCCCTTATAGCTTTCTGAAATATTCTTATCCTGTGGTTCTTGATGTCTTCCTGTGCTGTTAGCACTTAGCCATCTGCCGCTTTTTTTTTTTTTTTTTAATTCTGCAGTAGGGAATGAGCCATCCTGCAAGTTTCATTTAAGCCTTTTCCATTCATGTGCTTTCTCCACTTCTGTTTTTTGGGGGGGAAGTTGGGGGTGAGGAGGTTCACACTCTTAGGACAACACCATCTCCTAACCAAGGAGGCTGGTTCATTATGGCAGATGGCGCACTGCCCCACTGACCTCACTCTGCCTTCAGCCAAACCCTACCTGTCTACTTTGTGATCTACAACTAGCTCAAGAGGTGGCAGTGGCTGTTAGTTCCCTCTTTCTCTGAGTCCCTGAAAAACTCAACAGGGAGGATGGTTCCATCTACTGTTGGCCTCTCAACCTACTGCCATACCAATCTCAATGGGCACCAGCTGCCACTGTCTACTAATGAAGACAAAGAAGAACTATTAAGCAGAAACTTAGCTCAAGCCACCCAGTAGACCATAAACAAGGTGTGATTGTGTAATGGTGAAACATCTTCATATGCAGTGACAAAGTAGCTCAAGTCAACATTATGAAAACATAATTTTAAGGTATTAGAAAAGGATGCTGGATTTTCTTAGTGGGGGGAGAGAATGGGAGTGTAAAGACAATTGAGTTGATGAGAAGGAAGAGCAGTCCAACTTTACCAGTGACTAATTTGATATATCATCTCCTGATCATGTTTTTACCCTGACATTCCTTGAAGGTGCTAAGGGCAGTATACACAGAATTCTTCTTATAAATTGAGATAGAAAACAAGGATATTCTACATGGAGGCTACACACACTGACCAGAAAATGTGTGTATTGGCTGGAGAATGTACAAAATGCAGTCAAGATATGCACATTCCCCAAGGCCATTGGAGATCATGCATAATGGCTGGAGGACATACAACACAGAGTCCAGACATGCACATAGGCCTGTTGGGGATTGTGCAAATGCACAAAAATGTAGTCAGTACATGTACATCCCCCAAGGCCTTTTGTAGACAACGGTAGGTGCTATCATTAGGCTAACTAGGCAGCTGCCTAGAGTGCAGGTCCCAGAGGTGCACAGTGCTGGCCTTGGAGGCCTTGAGCTTTATAATGATTAGTTTTTGTTACAGTTTATAAATTTCTGACAATATTTTACTTTTACATGTTGAGGAATGTTGCGTGTTGAGGTCCCCAGGGCCACCCCAATAACTCACACATCACACAGAAATTTTTGTTTAAGGTT